AAAGTTTCTATACAAAATAAAAATATTTTGGTGTCAATATATTTTCCTTTTTTTGTTATTTTAGGATATAAAACATATTTTTCAAACTTTAATGAACGTAGAACAAGTATTGCATTGTTTTATATTTTTTAAATGACTCATAATAATTTTAAAGAGCGAAACATTTGTTTAATTCAATATTTTTACTTTATTTAAGGCATTTTTTGCCCAATTTTTGCATTTTTAAGGGCATTTTTTGCCCTTTTTAAGGGCATTTTTTGCACTTTTTAAGGGCATTAGTGGAGATTTTTTAGGTCATCAAAATCCGGGCTCTAGTGATTACATATACAGATTTATCAGGAGGGGTGCAGCTTTGGAAAGATATACTGTTCAGCTTTCACGAAATCTCGACTAATATTATTTTTGTCTCCTACTAAGAAAACAAGGGTAAAACCACTTCTGATGGGGGGAAATTGATGAAACATCATGATTCTTCCTACCTGCATCAAAGTGAAATAATTAATCCCATACTCTTATTGGAGGCGATTTATCCTCGTAACCACAATAATCGCCAACATCGAGTCTGTTGAAGTTCTGTGGAACTGTGCAGTTCTCCCCTTTGTTATTGATTGCATTATCACTAACCTATTTGCGTCCAGCCTCCATTTAAAAGAACGGTTTCTTTTTTCAAAAAATAAAAAAGTGGTAGCACAAACTTATTATTAGTATTCATACAGCAGGAATAAGAAATCTTTGTCTACCCTACTACATTAATAATGCAAATTATATTAACTTTATATAAAAAAATATGTACTACCATTTTATCATGATCATGATAGTTTTTATGTATATGTTATGTAGCCCTCTTTTCGTAGCCCGGCATTTTAATGGCTCAAAATTCAAAAATACCATTTTAATGAGGAAAAAATTGTCCAAACTGAGTATTAAAATTTATATCACATTAAGTTTAAATATAGCTACCTGCATATTTTAACTCTTACTTAACACGCCTAAATCCGAAAGCGCAGGCTTCGAATTTTTAATTAAGTGAAAATTAGGTTTAAAAATTTTTCAGCAACTTCATTACAAAAGAGATACTAGTTTTTTCAGTTGCGTTTGAACAATGTTTTAAATCATTAGCCTGACACCACTTTTTAAATGTTGTCATTTATAAATCGTTAACTCAACTAATATAAGATGCATGTCAACATCTGTCCAGCATTTGAATAATATTGTCACAACAGCCATTAATAATTAGTGTAGTAGTAGTATAACTTTATTTACGCCATACTAGAGCTGCACAATTGGCTATTATTGGCGACGTTCTGGGAAACACACTTAAGGATGATCCGAAAACATGTCATTACAATTTTGATGCACTGCAGAGGAGATGGCTTCCCCGTTTCGCTCGCCCGAAGATTTGCGCGTGAAGTCGGGCACTTAACGGCATAACAATCTAACGAGGATCAATACCGCACACCCTCGGTTCCTTCGAAAGCTGATCAAAGCGGTCACCCATCCACTAACTCACTGTTTCTCAAAGTGTGGTACGCGTACCCCCAGGGGTACGGAAACAGTTTAGCGGGGGTACGCGTTCTTATGCGAAATATCTTGCAACAAACGAAAATTTGAAGAAATTTTATTTAAAAACAAAGCTGGTCATGAAAATTTACGATTACGTATTTTTCTATTGACTATTTTTTGCAGAGTTAATGGTTAATAATTAGTGGTGTCAAGAGCCAGTTGCGATTTTTAACTTTAGTGTAATTTTTTCATGGCAAAAAATAGATTAATTTTTTTTTTTTATTAGTGGTACACAGAAAAATTTAGAAAGGGTACAGAAAAGTCATAAGTTTGGGAAACACTACGCTAACTGAACGCTGGCAGTGATGCTTGACTTCAGTGATCTACTGGGAAACGTGACTTACGATGTGAGGCAACAATTATTGAAATTGCTTTATACTTCTAAATATTCTTAAACTTCATAGTTAAAAAGTGCTAAGTAAAGATTTTTGATATCGGTGAAATATATTGCTATTTTAATTCATTTATTCCCAGACACAAAAAATAACCAAGATAGAGGGTGTTCTCAAGTTCTACTGACAAATTCTAGGGAAAAGGCACAGAGAGGGTGAAAACAAGCGATAAAACATGGAGCCCCAAACTACATAGAGAGGATGAAAATCGCGAAAAACCCATGCAAAATCAAAGTCAAGCTGGAAAACAAATACAAACTTTCAAACTACAAAAATATTTAATTGGTTAATTATTACGCGAGATGTCCAAAGTGGCACTTACTGACATCAGAGTTAGCCTGCGTTATTCAAAATCTTCGCCCTCTCAACCTGGTTTTCATTTCGTTGATACGTTTTACTACCCTTTTAAATTACTCAGTCAAATTTTGTAACCTTCTGCATGTAAAAGAGCTACTTGAAAAAACTTGTAACGCATATTTGTTTTTTCTAATTTAATATATCTTTCAGTTACATAATATTTAAAGCACCATACTTAGACTTCAGATACAAATATAAATATTTTTATTATTAATATACTATGGAAAACAGAATTACAGTCAAACCCCGCTATAGTGAACACGACTTATAGTGAACTCCCGGATATAGTGAACGAAATGCTCGGTCCCGTGCCTTGCTATACTCGTATAATGTTATTTTTAGTGGATATAGTGAACCAAAAAAGTGAGGAAGTTGGATATAATGAACTTTTTTCTGTCTTCGACTGATTCCCCTCCCCCATTTTCTTTGTAATAATTTTGAAATTTGTACTTCAAAATAAATACATATGCCGATTTTTAAAATCATCTTTAGAAACTACTTTTATATGCTCGAATGGCAGGTTAGACATGTTTAAAAAGGGGAATAGCAGAAATTCAGGAAAAATTATCTGAGAGTCGGGAAGTGTTTCCATATCTGATGTTGAGGATTGCTCATCAGCTAAAGATTACTAATTTTTATTTGTACGCAACACGAAGGGTGATGAAAAATAACACATTTTTTGCTACTTCATAATATTTTTCACTCATTTGTATGAATATAATGTAATAAAAGGGAGGAGTTTGGGCACCATTAGTGAAATTGCCTGCGCAACGGATATAGTGAACTCCCGGTTATAGTGAACCGAAATTTCGGTCCGTTGAAGGTTCACTATAGCGGGGTTTGACTGTATTTGGTTTCTGCAAAATCAATCTTAATAATGAAACACTTGTGCAATCATTTTTCGAAGGAACTTTCTTTTTTTATAAGGACGCAATGCACAAAATTGTTAATAAATTCGGATAGTGCTCAAAATAAAGAAAATTGAATGCTTGATACTTTATAAGTACTTGAAGAGATTTATTTTGAGCGGCTTTTTACTATTACTTTTCTCTTAAAATCAGATTCAGATTATTCTTACTTATTATAGAAACATTAAAGCTTTCTCGCAACAGCCCGTTGTAGGCCAGGGATGTCATGGCTGGTTAGGCTTCACTATTTCGTGACAAAGAGCTGGTACGCGAAAACAACATACTGGCAACATACTCATATTTGTGCAAACTGATAACAATTGATCTAAAATTTGGAGGACTTCAAGCCGCCACTGAATGTTTCACAGTGACTCAAAGTAAGTATAAATGTTTATTAGTTGTGATCAATTCTCTCAGCAAAATAATAAAAGCAATTTTGTCATTAATTTTAAAAAAGTACTGTTATGAATTGCCAAGACATACGATCCTTTTACTTTAAAGTCTCGCGAACATTATTTTATAAATGATAACAGCGATGAACTTTTCTTCGATAAGTGGATACATGCTCCTCTTTTGTTTTTATTTTTCAGAAAATTCCTCCTTTTTTACGTACTTTTAGGAAATTCCTTTCTTTGTTATTTTCTTGCTGAAAATTATACCTTTATTTTCTCTCTGAAAACAACACCCGCTTTTTTTCAAAAAATCCCCCCCCCCTTTTTTTCAAAAAATCTTCCCTTTTTTATGAAAATTCCATCCATATATTCTGCTTGAAAATTTTCTCTTTTTTTTTTTCACTCTTCCCCCTTTCTGTTTTTATCCCCGATCCATCCTGCTTTTTTTTTGCTTTTACCCTGAAAATTCTTTCCCTTTCAATTTTCAGCTAGAAAGTTTCCCCATTTTTGTTTCCCTCCTCAAAATCCGATCTTTTTTTTTTTTTTTTCGAAAAATCCTCTTTTGTTTTCTTTTCGAAAATTCCCTCGTTTAATATTTTCTGCATAAACCCCTCTTTTGTTTTTCTTTTTCTAAAAAAATTCTCGTTTTTTTTTTGTTGAAAATTTCCCCTGATTTGTTTTCTTCTAAGAAAAAATACAAAAATTAAGATTATAAATAAAAGCACCTTCCAGTGAAGTTTATAAATTTTCTCTGAAACAACACATGCCTTTTTTTTTCTTTTTATTTATTTATTTATTTATTTTTTTTGCTCTCGTTTTGAAAATACCTCCCTTTTTTTTCCTCAGTGGACCTCCCAAAAGGAACGTGAAAGGATAAGCTTAATTCAAAATTATCTTCCAGCAAATTTTCCAGGGTGCGCGAGAACATATTCTAATTTCCCTTCCGCTCTTTTTCCTTTTTTAAAAATACCCCTTTTTTTTACACCTCTAAACGGCAAAAAAAATAAATTAATTAATTAATAAAAGAAAAATTATTTTTACAAATATTTTATATGCGGCAAATTTTTTTCTAAATGATTCTCGTAATTATTCGTTAAAAAAAAATAAAACTATAGATTTTTTTTTCTCGGATACTGAAATTGTAAGCTTATATTTCCCTTTTTAATTTTTCTCTATTAAATATTTTTTAATGAATTATATTATAATTTAAACATGGCAATAACTTCTTTTAATTAAATTTATTTTTCCTCTTCATCAAATTTAAACTTGTCATTAACTTTTATCTTACTTTTCTCATGTCGGCATTAGGTTAAAAGGTTTTTAAAAACATCAAATGCAATTTAATAAAACTGAAAATAAAATATATATATTTATCCATTTTCACTCACCCCAAAACAGCGAATCATTCTGTTCGAACTAATTTAACTTCAATTCTTCATCTTGAATGACTTTCTCTAAATAAATCCATGATGCACCCTACCGCAAGTTCACTATTTTACAAACGCTGAATGAAAAAAACGTGTTCTTAAACATGAATCGGGCACACATATCAATAAATAACGCAAGTGTGTCGGCGAGTCCCCACAATTAATGGAAGTAGGACCAACTGGTTTCGCGCTTCCTCGCTTTCACATAGAGAATCTGGTTTTTCAACAAGGTTGCCAGTTGGCGATCTTTTTCATACATTAAAAGCTCATTAACTAAGAGAACATTGGACGAACCTAACGGGACATTTTTATTACCATCATTCAAAACTGGATAGCTGAATTTGAATGAATAGTAATGAGATTGGTGTCTATATGAGAACGCGTCTCTTCAATAGGCTATAAAGTAGAGGAACGCGTCTCTTCAATAGGCTATAAAGTAGAGGAACGCGTTTCTGGTTCTGAAGAACAAAGGCATAGCTTTAAATCAGGCTTTCTCTTGTTGTAATTAAGAGGATGCTATTCCACAATAAAAACTTTTCATCTCAAATACTCTTTCACCTCAATTACAAGTAATTCAAAATTAAAATAATAGAACAAGTACGTTCAGACGAAACTAGAGTAAGCCATGTAATTTCAAATAGAGAAAAGAAATTCTCAAAATAACAAATTATGAGAGGATAACTTAATAATTTCGCAATCGAAAAGTTCTCTTCCGATAATTTGTTCGAATTTTAAAATTTTCAACAAAAATTATTTTTTTCAGCAATCGAAATTAAATTGGCTTAATCTAGGTTTGCCTGAACTCATTTTTCTTATAACTTTATTTGTTGTTGTTGTTAATTTAAGTCCCAGTAGAGCTGCACAATGGGCTATTGGCGACGGCCTGGGAAGCATCCCGGATGATGATCCGAAGACATGCCATCACAATTTTGATCCTCTGCGGAGGGGATGGCACCCCCACTTCGGTAGCCCGACGACCTGCGCGCGAAGTCGAGCACTTTACGGTAGCACAGTTTAACGAGGACCAATACCGCACACCCTCGGTCCCTACGCAGACTGATCCAAGTGGTCACCCACCCGCACACTGACCGTAGCCAGCGATGCTTGACTTCGGTGATCTGCTGGGAACCGTGTCTTAACGATCAGTCCACTGCGGGACCTTATAACTTTAAGTTAGTGATGGAGGTGAAACCATGGTGTATAGAGTAATCTAAAACCAATGGTTCTTAATTTTATTTCGGCAATAGAACCCTAATCGACTAACCCTCTTTCGGTGGAAACCTAATTTCATAAAAAAAAAAGTTAATAAAGACGATTGCGAACGTATCTACCCAATAAAAGATTTTATTTTAAAAATACTTAATCAGAAGAATGAACTTTCTTCATTTATGTTTGACAGTTAAATTCGAAGTCACGTTCTAGTTATAAATTTGTTTTACGTGTAATACATGCTTGTTGTTGAAAATGAATAAAATAAGCAGAAATATGGTTTTCTTTGAAATAAAAACTATAACTAGCTACTGTAAACCTTGAAGACCGTTGTTAGGGAAGCATATTTCTTTATTAACAAATTTGGCAACTTTATTGTCATTTGAAAAACGCGATGAGAAATAATAAGGAAAGTTTTACAAAAGCGTGATCTTTTTATAATTTATACGATGCACGTTATTAGAAAAATATTAAAAAATTTATTAAAAAAAAAAAAACATAATCCATTTCTTTTTCAATGGCATTTTACTTTAACACGTTGAATGCCAAGCTAATTTTACATGGCTGCCGGTCTGGCCAAACGGTAAACTACTAAACTACAAACTAAATTTGACAGCTTTTGCTAGTTTTTAAATGGTTTATCATGACTATCTGAAAAAAATGGTGAATTATATAAGCCTACGAATTGTTTTGAAATAGCGGTGGATAAAAATCTACTAAATTGAATTTATTAAACCAAGAATCACAATTAATAAACTACGAGTTGAAAATATTTATTCGCTGTCCGGAGCAAGTTGGCATAGCTGTGTATATAAATAAAACTATTTTTGTGTGTTCCATGTTGCATTAATTTCTTTAAACCATTTTAGTAACGATAATAATATAAAAATATTAAAAATTTAATCGAATTATTTGTTTTTAAAAATCTTAGCTTCGCCGGTCACCGGTGACCTCCATGGCATTCAACGTGTTGAATAATTTCATTAATGAAATTCATTAATTAATGAATGAGGAAAAGTCGGCGTGTTTCAAGCTCTCAAGAATATGGGAAACAGAACGCTCGAAGTATATCGATTTCTACCCCCCCCCCCCACCTCAAGTTTTTGAAGCAATTAATGATTTTATATTATAAAGAGTAGTAGTCTCAGTAGTTTTGGCAAGAGCTGTTATAAGTTAGGGCCTCTTAATATTACTTTTTGCTATACTGAAAGAAATTTTTAGGAGATTCGAAAACTATTTGCGCACAATTATAAAATTAAATTATTCACACGTGTAAGATCATGTAGGAAATGAGTCTTAATAATTATTTTAATTCATGAAGGTCGCAAACTTATATATTAAAACAAATTTTTACTCTATGTAATCTTAAATGATAAAATATAAAACTTGAACGAAATCGGTCAAACAATTTTTAAGTTACAAAAAAAAAAAACATAATTAAATAAATAAATAAAAATAAAGAACGTATTTTTAAACTATTACATTATAAGAATTATTTAACCGATTTTGTTAAAATTTTGTATTTAATCATTTCAAATTATACAGTTAAATAATGAGTCTAATTATGAGTTAAATAGTAATCTTGAAAATTAGTTACAATTTATATGAAATTAGTTATGAATTTTTTTATTTAAACGCTTTGCATAAAAATACAAACCATCTAATTGCTTTTAATCTTTCACTCCACACTTATTAAAAGTGAATAATAATTATTATTTTCACGAGAAAAGATTGGTCAAGGAATACAGGAAAAATACAGAAAAAATAAATTACAATTTTTTTGAGGAAAGGATAACTTTCCTCTTTGCATAACTGCCAAACTGTGTGTACTATGTTATAAATTCACTTACACCCAACGCTAATGTAAATAAAATCTTCTAAATAAAAAACACAAAAATCAAATGAAAACTAAAATATATATATATATATATATATATAACNTAGACAGACCCCTGATATATATATATATATATATGTGTGTGTATAAAAAATGAAACGACTGTAGCTTGAAACAGCAATAATACCAAATAGCTCGTACCAAAATGGAAGTAGTTGCGTAGTTAACTAGCTACATGCATGGATACGCCATTTCTTTCAACGTTTAAGCTAGCACAGTGGTCAATTCTTTTTTCTTACTAAAACTTTGCAAATGTGCAAAGCAATTTTCAATGTTAAATGATAGAGAACAACAGAAAAAATCCAGATTGAACTCAGCTTAGCAGATATGCAAAGGGTTCCGGTTAAGAGTTAAAAAGAGAAAATAGGAACATTGTTTTGTTTTTTTCTTAAATTTTATTTCTACACATTAAAATAGAAATCTTACAAGAGAACACATAAAGTATAATTTTCTTTCATACAAAATACATATTTACAAATATAAAGAAAAAGAAAAAAACAGTCTATAAGATGACATTATAAACATAAAATAGTTTGTATATAAGGCAGTCAATAGGCATGACAAATTAAAAGTATGACAATCCCAACATGCATAAATTACTTTACAATTATTAAAAAAGAGGTAAAACCCAACCATTCCTAGATTTGAAAAAAATATAAAGTTTGCATTTTTAAGAGAAATTAAAAAAAAAAATTTGAGCAACGATTTTTACAAATTGGCGTAATAATTGGCTCACAGTTAGAGGGCGAGTTGATTACATATCCAATTAAATAATTTATTAAAAATGAAAATAGATGAAGTTTAATCGGTGCATTAGGTTAGTTTTTCATCGATTAGGTTTTTTTTTTTATTTCTTTACATTTTGGCGACTGAGGATCATTCTTTTTGCTAATCGTTTTCAAATTATCATTAAAATTTGTTTTGTTGCTGTTATTATGGACTTTCCAATCAAATTGATTTATTACAAACTTAGTAGTCTAAACATTGGAAAAAAAAGTAAATTGAGCTTAATAGTTTTAAAAAAAAAGTACAAATTGAGAAACAATTTAGTATAACTACAGTTAAATACAAAAACGTTAGTCTTTCCCAATCTAGGAATGTTCATAAAATAGTATTTTCAAATAAAAAAAATATATGTGGCATTAAAAAGAGAAGAATGTAACGTTAATTGTATAAAAATCTAAAAACATTCATGCATAAATAAGTAAAAATTAAACTCTAAAATACAAAAAGATTAAAAATTAATAGTGCATCTAAAAACACTACAAGCTATACCTAAATATAAAATATTAGTTAAAGGAGTTAAACTTTAAAAATGTTTCTAGTTCATATTGATATTTAAAATTTCTTTTTTTCCAAAATACAGCAATTAGTATTATTTACTGCTGAATAAGTCTTTCCAAATTATCAAAGTGATATAAAGAGTTATAAGTTTTACAGACATGTCATTATTTTAAAAATAAAATTCACTTTAAATTCAAATCGTAAAAAAAACATCACAAATAAGTATACAGACATGATTTAGCGGCAATAGATGTTTTTTTTAATACAAAATTTAAGTAGTTGGCAAGAAAAAATTTTATATATAGCTATAGTTCATATCAGCGACATACTAGAAAACTAATGTTAAAATAAAATAAAAAATTTTTTAATTCATTTCAGTATTACATGAGTTATACTTTTTAAATACTTAGAAATTTTAATTCAAATATCTTGAGTTACATACATATTTTAAATGCATTTTCAGTTTTTTCCATTGAAAGTTTTATTGTAATATTAATAATGATTTTTTAAATATTTTAATGTAAGCTGAATTGTAATTTGATAATGCATTTTCAAATATTTTCATTGTAAGCTGCATTATAGTTTAATAGGGCATACTTAAATATTCCAATGTAAGTTATATTATGACATAATTCCACATAAAAGAGAATGATTTATCAATATTAATTTAGAATAATACGTTATTATTATTAAAAATAACGATAACAAATTGTGTGTTTTACATGAACATGATTTCATAAACAGATGTTGTCAGCAGATTTTAATACAAATTTTGTACTTTCTTAGTTACAGTTCAAATTAGTAAACTAATATACAGAAATATAAAAAATATTAATTAATTTTAGTATTTAATTAATATTCATTTTTTAAGTATTTCTAAGATGTAATGTATTTAATATGCAGTTTAAAATACATGATTATATATTTTTTAGCAGCAAATATAGTTAAATATTTCTGTTTTAAGAACCAGAACCAGTTTCTGGTAAGAATCATAATCCCACCTCAGTTTATAATAAATTATTCAATTAAAAATGCATCACTAATATAGTACTTGGTAATTATTAATCATGCTTTTTTTCAATACTCTTTAAATAAGTGAAATAATCTAAAAAAAAAAGATTTTTTTTAATAGTTATGGTTTGAACATTAATTTCAATACTTTATCGAAGTAAAATAAGAAAGTTAGAGTAATATTAAAATAATAAAATAGTCCAATTTACAACAAGCAGGTGATTAGTATATGTCTAATTAAATTATCTATAAAGGCACATATACTTTAATGAACTTAAAACACATTTATTAGATATTGTTAAAAATATGACTATTGTAGGTAACAAAATAATTTTAGAGGGATTTTCTTGTCACTGTCATTTTTCTAAATAGGTAAATAATAGTGAATACGTTTTCCATTTGATACGGTTGGACATAATAATATTAGAAAAACTAGTTTTATATAGAGAAGAAAAGATGGTTTTTCAAAGTAAATGACCCCTAGATTTTTGCATGTAATGAAAAAACATTAAAATGCATATTAAATAACACTAAATTTAAAAATACATGCAATATTTTTTTTTTTTTCTAATTTTTTTTTTTACAAAAAAATATTTTATTTTCCGTAGAGCAACTATTGAATCTACAGAGTACTCTAGCATACCTAAAGCAAATTTAGTCCTAAAGATACAAATTCAACAATATGTATTTGAGAGGCAGTTTTTCAAAAAACAAAATCAATTGAACTTTTATCCACTCAATAACACCAAACAATCAATATACCAAAAAAAAAAGCATACAAAACTAAAATGTTTAACATTCATATTAGCAAATAATAAATGCAGATATTGTATTTATGTAGTAAATAATTAAGATAATTTTGTGGAATAAAATGCAAAACTAAGACACCACAGCAGGCACTAGAAAGATTTTCTGAAATTGTTAATGTTTTTATAATCGTAATAATGTAACAATCAATATGATTTTTCCCAATTTATAAATATTAATTATTTGATCAATTATAATTTGATCAATATTAATCAAAAATATTAATTATTTGATATCTATATGAGAACATAAGCAAATTTATACATATACATTAATGTATAAAATATAAATACAAAAATAGGACTAAAATACTTTCTAAAAATTTCCCTTCAGTCTTATGAAGAAACAAGATATATATTTTACAATAATTGTTATTAATGATAATTTCATAGAAAATATTTTTTTCCAAGCCTTCTATAAAAATTTTTTTTAAGATAAAAATATATGTAAATATTTTTGAACCATGAATTACATACATTAGATATTTGAAAATTTATATAGCAAAATATGTAATATTATAATATTCATATTTGTCAATTGCAATAAAAAAAATTTTGATATAAAAACCAGTATAAAAAGTCAAATGTCAAATAATTAAAGATAAAATATTACGATAAATATTAATCCATAGGATACGAGTAAACTATATTCATAATCGTAAAATGTGACATTTTCGGATTTTAAACAGTGACATTTTTAGATTTTAAAACCATTTAAAAATTATAAAGCTTATTACATGTATAATGGATAAGAATTATCAATTGATTATGAGTAAGAAATGAAAATTTTGTATAGTAAACATAAATTCAAATAACTTACTTAATATAAAAAAAACTTAAGTAAATAAATAATAAAATTGGAATTAACAAGAATATAAACATTTATTGACTAAAACAAACGAGTTGCTACACTTAATGCAATTAGAAGTAGAAACAATTACCGTGTTTCTTGCATATTAATATAAATAATTTTCTGGAAATCCAGTATTTTTTTAAAAAAATATTATAAATTATAAACCACAAACAAATTATATTAAAATAAAATTAATAAATCAAATTTTAAAGAACTTCAATATTGATTAAAGGAGTAGCATTAAAAGCTCACCGGAAAGAAAGCAGAGATTGGATTGAAAAAACACAGACTGGAATGAGAAAACAGGGATTGAATTGGGGAAACAGGGATTGGATTGAATGAAGATTTTCATGGCACAAGATATATAAAAGTTTATATTGTGTAAATGTGAACATAATGCACTCAATGAAAGGGCGCAATAAACTAAGTCTGAGACAAAAAGATAATAAAAGTATGAAGAATTTTTGTGATATCTCAGAGCCACAAGAACAAGACACTTTTTTAGTAAAAGAAAGACTCGCTTTAAAAATGAAGTAAAAATTAATAGGGCACCCTAGGATCATTTTTATGGCATTTAAACACACTAAAAACTCACACTTTTAAATTAAAGATAGAAACATGTTCCTGATGATTGCTTAAAAGTAAAAAAGATAAAGGTAATCATTGATGGCTAATTTGCTAATAAAAATATTTTTTACACTTGAGAAAAATCACAATGAATTATTATTTTAGAAAAATATTATCGTTCCAAAGATAACATTTATATAGATAAAAATTTGTTTCAGAGAAGCTCAGCTGCATTTGATATGAATAAAATATAGCAGTGCTCAAACAGAATAAATTTGTTTTTACATAAAAAGAGATGGACAGCTTTTAAATTAAGCTCTTGCATCGAAAAATTATTCAGTACTTCTAAAACAGGGGTTTCTAACTGGCGACCCGCAAATTCTTTTTTTGTGGCCCGTGAACTAAAGTATATTATTTGTCATTTTTTGTGGACAATTTATGTAAAAAATCTATATAGGTTTAAAATACTTTTCTCGGTAATAAATACCTATTTTCTTCGTTTCTGTGAAAATTAACATACCAACGGTGCAAAAAAAATTATTTCTCAGGTTTTGCATTCAAGAAAATTATTTATTCAAATACAAAAATAATAGTATATGTTATTCTTTTTTATTACTTTTTTTGTATTTTGTGAATATAATTTAGCATGTGCGTATGAGAAATTTTCTCGAAGAAATTCTCCGATTTAACTTTTTAAAACCACTCATTTAGGACGAAAATATTTACACACACATTTGTAAATTTTAAATTTAAAATGTAAATATCTATTCTCTGGTGGTTGCAGCAGACAAACCTCAATTTTCTCATTGAATATTTTGTGTGCTACTATGTAAGTTTTAATACCAACCTTTTTAAAGTTTTATATCTTAACAATTAGATATCTGTTCCACAATAATTGTTTAATACATAGGCGCACATTAAAGTTATTGTAGCACGAATTTTCATTATTTATTTAATATTTTTTAAAATATTATTAATAACAATTAAATATTTTTTAAAATTTACTTCTTATTTTAATTTGTTATTCAATACTTTTGTTTTGTACAACTTGGTAAAAATCCAACAGTAATAATTAATGTTCCTTCAAACATAAAAGAGTTCTACATAAAATTTTGATGAAGTTGTGGCCCGCCATTTGATTTGTGTTTTTAATTGCAGTCCCCGGCCTCATGCAAGTTGGAAACCCCTGTTCTAAAACATAGTTCTAAAAATAGCTCATCTTAATTACAAATTTTTATGTTTTGTTTGCATCAGTATATATTTTTACACAATAGCCTGTATTAACTCAGTTCTTTGTTTGAAAAACTATTTTTATTCTATTTTATAGTTGCAAAATGGGTATAACTCTAGTTTAAAATATCGTTATAAAAATAGCTTGCTCTAATTACAAATTATTATTCATTATACTTTTCTTAAATTCATTCAGAATAGTTTGCACTAGTTATACATCAAACTTTATATCACAAAACTTTTTGCAGTTCTAAAATAACAGATCATCTTTAAAATATACAGTCGTGTCCAAAAGTTTAAGACCAGTAGCAGATTTTCCGTATTTTAAGGCATCACATCATCAGTACAGATAACTGCATCATCTTACACGTAGATTGCATCAGATGCAATTAAGTGATATAAATAAATGCCTCTTTTTTTTACCTCCTGATTCCTTTACAGATTTCGCAATAATATGCACAGTTTTATTGTTATAGATTTAAAAAAATTTTACTTATAGTTGCAAAAAAAGTAAAAATAGGGTCCTTGTATAGAGATATATATAATTAGTTTAATTGATTTTTTTAAAAAGAATTAAGATTTGCACATGATCAAGACAGTTTCCTCAAGCTGCCAGTAAATTAAAAAAATTTGGAACATATACAGATCTGAATAGGAGCTGTTGCATTACCCAAGAAAAACAGTAGCATATGATCCTCTGTTATCCATTGTACATTATCCAACTACCTCATACAAGATTAAACATACTCTGAAAAATGCAAAATCAAAAAGGAACACAATTTTATGATGATTAATAAAAGATTGTGCTCATTTACACTATTAACATGCAATGAAACGGTGGTCCTAAACATTTGCACACGAGAATAGCTTGCATTGATTATAAATACTCTAGATGAAAAAGGCATAAACAAAGAAAGTACTATTTTAAGATATACATAACCAAAATTTATGCTGAGTTATCCTATAAATCTGCAAGGAAATGGTGGTCCTAAACTTTCGCACACGAGAATAGCTCGCATTGAATATGAATACTCTGGCTGAAAAAGATATCAAAATGAGCACTATTTTAAGATATAAATCAAAGATTGTGCTCAATTGTTCTACAAATCTGCACAGAAATGGCAGTCCTAAACTTTAGTACATGAGAACTACTTGCATTAATTACGAATATTCAGGCTGAAAAAGGCATCATCAAAGGTAGCACTATTTAAAGAGGTTTAACAAGACTGTGCTCAGTTATCCTATAAGCCAGCAAGGAAACTGTTGTCCTAAACAAACCGGATGCTCAAAGGGCAACCTTCATCAGTGCTCCTGATGCACTGATGAAGGTTGCCCTTTGAGCATCCGAAACAGCTGTCTGCTTTTAATAATATTTTTGTGCTCTTTAACGTTGTCTACCTCAGTTTGTATTTTAGCACAAAGGTCGCCCACTTGTGTATTGTTGTCCTAAACATTTGTACACAAGTACAGCTTGCATTGATTACGAAGTGGTTAATAACATTTACTATGTATATGAATCTATGAAAAGTTTATAAGTTTGTCATCATTGAGTTTTACATCCGTCTTTTGGTTTCTTTGATTTTTTCTTTTCTAAAGATGTGGTCCTACGCGTACCTTGAATAGGCATATAAGGAGGAGCAGGTTCACTGTCTTCCTCATTCATTAAATAGCTGTCAGAGACACTGCTGCTCGGACTATAAGGGGGTACATCTAAAAATAATACGATGTTTTAGTGTTTGTTTAGTCAAAGATTTCACAGGAACAGAAAAGAGTATTACAGATAAGAGGCATAAATATACTTATTTTGAATGAAAACTATAAAAATAGAATTTTGTTTCTTGAAAAAAGTAAAGTGTCTTCCTTGAATAAAGCAAACTTTTATAATGTGTATTTCCTTGGAAGCATTTAATACAAAAATCTTTAACCGAATTATGTCAGTGGCTTTTATTGAAGACATGAGCTAAATACTTCCATATGAGCCAATCATTTCAACTGGTTCACAAATATACATTGGTAATTTATTTACGATTACCAAATATGAATAAAACTTATAAGATGTAAATAAAGATTTGAAAATTTCAAATTCAGATTTTTTAACTCTTAAAGCAGTTTAGGGTAAGCTTGCATAGGAATTTTCCATCAATGCATTGAATAACACATGTTAAACCCTGTTATATACATAGGATAGCAACTATCTAATATGACTGAAAGTTTTAGGTTAAACAAGAGAGTTATAATATAGGTGGAAATTAAATCTCTAAGACTTCACAATATTCTTCACTAGTTTTTACTTTTTTCAAATAAGAAATATTTTAAAATGGTGAGTTTGGAAAACTCAACATTTGCAAACTATCATAGACACAAACTATCGAGGTTGGAAAAAAATCAGGGTTTTAGGAAAAAACTTAACATGTATGGGTATTTCAAGAAAAACCTTCAAAAACTTGGGTTTTTTTCAAAAACAAAAGTCTCCTTTATTTATTTTTTTAATAAAATTGGACTTTTAAAGAAAAAATTGAGTTCTAATTGATTTGAACCTAGTCAGTCCAGCAAATTATTATCTAAAAAAAATTTTAATGTGACTTGCTTTACCAAAAAAAATTCCATTTTAAAGTGCAAATTAAATTCTTTTGGGGAAAATAATTTAATAAATTGCACAATTTCGTTTTTTATTTTTTCAAATTTAAACTTCTACTTCAAGTAAAATATCATGCGTTGAAATTTTCCCTGATAAATCTAATGTAGAAGAATTTAGAAATATTAACACAAATCTTATGGAAGATATGAATATAGAATTTGAAATTTCTTTACAATTACTAAACAAAAAAACTTCAACAGATTTAATAATTATTTCTCAAATATTTAAGAACAACACATTATAAAATAGTTTTTTTTTTTTTTTTTTTAAATAGTTATAGCGATTCTCAATTTTTTAACGTTTGACATTTAAATTAATACAAAAATAATAAATTATACATTACATACCATTAGACAGTGGAGAATTGCTTGAAAAATTATGAGGGGATAAAACATATGAAGATTGGTTACCACCATTGTATGTTGGATCAATAGCTGCAGCAATATTATTTACAGAACTCCCAGGAAAATTACAGCCATCAACTGGACTCCTAGAATAAGCAATAAATTTTGATAAATTTAATCAAACAATATGTTTAAAAACATTTAATTTTTTAGCTCTCAAAAATTACCAATTTGTGTAATCTTTTAGTTCCTTCTTATTTTTTTTAAAGATTATTACACAATATTTACACTGTTTTATTGCAATTTAGAAATAGGTGATAAAACACACTGCATGTTTCTAAATTCCAGCACAAAAGGTGTTCTTCCGTCCTAGTTTGGAACGCTAAATATACAGATAACAATGTTCCACAACTAACCTAGGATTTAAAAAACCTAGGAGAATAATTATACGTGTGATGTGTTTTACTTACCAAATTAGATAACTTATCAAATTTCAAAATTAGTTACAAAATTTGTAAATAAATGGCACTACCAAATGAATAAACTGTTAAATAGTGATTTCAAAATCAAAGTTAATTGCTGTAATAAAATGGTGCAGTGTGAAGAAAAAATCAACGGTTGTCAGAACAAATCATTCAGTTTCAATGGTCAGATATGCTGCAAACATATTTAATACTTTTCCTTTGTTACTAATTTTGAAATTTGGCCATAATAAATTTTCTAGTAACCTAAGCAGAACAGAGTAAATTATAAATATGTTTTCCTATTTTTTATCGAATTGATTTTTTAAATATATCAAACATTTTTAAAAAAGTAATCAGTGGCATTTAGATGAACATTAAATACATATATGCAGCATAAGAAAACTGTAGCTCTTTCTAGTAGTTGAACATTCAAGTAAATTTAAAATACTTACTGTAAAGTTTGAATAAAAAATTATTATAATTTCTTTTTCTGTTGTTAAATTAGAAGTTACACTTTTAAACACAGTATAATTTTCAAATTCGGCTTTATAGCCAATATTGTTGCTTTGCTTTTTTTCTTCCCCTCTTCAGTCTTTTCCAATTGATTTTTGATTGATTTTTTTTTCAATATTTTCTTTTTTATAGTTCTTTAGCAGAGTTAAGTTTTTCTCTTAAAATATTTAAGTTTATCATTTTAATGACATTTTATAGTTCACATTAAGTATAGTGAAACCTTCAGGAAAAACCACCACTGTGTAGTAACCTCCTCTATTCATGACCACTTTAGGGAAGCGTGGAATTTTTTCAATAGACTTTGCGTTGAAAATAATTTTTAGGAGAGACCATCAAAATTTTTCACAGTGATCAGGCAAACCTGTGCACCAAATGTGGAAAAGTTAAATAAGAAAACAAGAAAAAATATCAAAATAAAAATATTAACAAAACAAATATGTAGATTCTAATGTATTTAAAATATTTGTGAGCGGCTCTTATTTAAAGAGCTTTTCTTGACTATCTCTTAAAACGATTGACAACCACATGTTACGGTACAGTGCACTAAAGACGATGCTATCAATGATTTAGTTGTGAGTTAAAAGTTAAATTTAAAAAAAAAAATTTATTTATATAAAAACAAAAATTATTTTAGAAAAACTAAGCATCTCAAACAGACTTCTCATTTTTAAAGTAAACTAATTTTTATGATATTAATTGATATTAATATTAAATGCAAATTTAAGCAAAAAAAAAAACATAATTGTTTATTTATTTAAAATAGTTCTGTCATTAATAATTGGTAAACTTGTTTTTACACATAATTATATCAGATGGGGTCATTTTTATTTGAGCTAAATTTTATTTATTGATCTAGTTTTAATGATGCCAACATAAATGTCATTTGATGATGCTGAGTAAGTGACATCAAATGATACACAGTAAAATTAAAATTAAGCTCACAAAGGAACATGTATCTTCGATAACATTTTGTAGTCAATGGAGGAAACCCCTAAGATTGACCAACCACCATTAACGACCATTTTACTGTGAGTTGTAGCTCCCGAGAGGTTTTTCTGTATTAAATATTGAACAATATGTAAGATGATTGGCAATTTTTAATATAGTTTTTAAAAACCAGCTCTCAGTGTCCTTTTCTCTACTAAATGCAATTTTTTCTAATTCACTGAAAAAATTTGCATGTTCTGCCACTAAATGCTTCATAAAAATAAGGTAAAGTCTACTAATTTTTCACGTAACTTAATTGTTATAGGTAGCTTGCATAAATATACAAAACTTTCAAGATTTTGAAAAGTAATGTATAAACAAACTGGACAATTACAAAACAGACTATTAAAAAAAAAACACACACACACACAATAAAACATACCTCTCCCTTTGTTTTTGAAAGATATACATACAAATTTCCTTATAAAGTTATTTTGATTGTTAGATTTAAATAAAAAAAACTATTAACAAAGAAATTTTGATCAACAAAGAGAAGCTGTAAGGAAAATTCAACAATACATTAAAAGTCTTAGAATGGGTATCAAAAAATGGGTATTTATGGTATAAGGATACTTAGGTATTAATGGGTATTTAGAATAGGTATATATAAAAAAAATGGCGAAAAAAATTTTTAATACAATAACCAAATAATGTTTAAAAAGAAAAAAGAATTTCTCTTCAAATTCCCAAAGAAGATGTAAAAATTAGAAAAAAATATAGACTGAAAAAAAAAATATATGAAAATAGTGTGAAACTTTACAAAAAAAAAGGAGCAACAAAAACTAAGTCAACATTTGCAATTGACTACAACAATTGACCACAAATGCCTTTTATTTCTTGCTTATAAGAAAAAATTACACAGTGTTCTGTACTTCAAGTAAACAAGCTAGTTTCGGTTTCGCTTCTGCTATGTAGTCGCAGAAAACTTAATAAACTTTTCTTGTTTTTCTGTGTAGCAAAAAAAATTTACAAAGATAAATAATTCATCATCATTTTTAACAAAAAAGAATGGAATTTGGAGACTTTTAGCAATCAATGAAAAAAAGTGACTTTAATCCTGGACTTTAAAAAAAGTTACTAGGTGTAAAAAAGTTACTTTTTTCTGATTATTACCAACTTAACAAATTATGTTGAATTCTAGTTAAAAGATACAATAAATAGATATCACAGAGAACACTTTCTTAATGAATAAATAATTACTACTGTCTTAATGAATAAATTATTACTTACCAATCAGGACTAGACAATCTTTCTTTTGTACATGTTTCTCGACTCGGTGCATCAGGCATGTGTCCTTGTAGACCTAGAGGGCGTGTCTAAAAACAACATAAGAATAATTAAAAGAGTTCAAGAATGCTTAACTATATAGCAAATAAAATATTATTTTCAATATAGATTCAAGTTAAATGTCATATTCAATGGCACAAGTGTCGGAATTGATTATAATGATCAAACAATGCATATTGTATGTATTTAACAATGTATAAAACAAGAAAACAAGAAGAAAAAAACCAGACAAAAAAAGTAAAAACATACTACTACTTAAAGAGGTGTATCTACTTAAAGAAAGCAAACTCCTTAGAGGCATTAAAGATATAATTGTCACAGCCAATAAAAAAAACAAAAAAGTACATTTAGAAATTCTGATACATGTTTGGGGATACAAATTATTTTACAACAGCAGAGTTTACAAATTGTGGAAAATTTAGAAGTTAATTTTAAGAAACAAGCGTAAACATTAAGAAAAAGGTTTTTTATGATGATGAACTTAGAAATGAAAAACAAAAATCAATGTTAAACTTACAAATATGCTATGGTACTGTAATTAAATATTTAAATACGATATTAATATTTAAAATTAGTTTTTGTCTTTTATTAATTTAAAAATTATAACTAAATATCACTTTTACACGGCAACTACTTCAAGGTTTAGCAAACTAAATATTAGCACTTCGGTATTCATAATGAATTAAAATTTAAAAATAAGAAATAAAAATTTTTTTCATAAAAAGGACAGAAAAACCGAATCTACATAGACACTAAATTAATCAACAATAAAAAATAATAAAAGAATAATTTTATATTTTATACTAGCAGTCAAAACTTAAATAAACCAAAAAATTAACCATTACATGTATTATTACATAATTTACGAAATAAGATTTTTAGTTTACCAAGAGGTCAACAAGCTGGTATTCGATATATAAAAAAAAAAGAGTTATACCATTTCAGGTTGATATCCAACAGCTGCTTTCTGTCTGGCTCTCTCTCTAGCTTTTTTAGCTCTGAGCCTTTCTTGTTCTTGGAGAACTTTAGCTAATTCTCTGTCTTGAGCTTCAATGGCTAACTGCTGATCTTGCTTACTTCCTCCAGGTGACTGTAAATGCAAAATAAAAATTATGGAACAATAACGAGAAAAAAGGTGTACAGGTCCAACAGAGACCTTTGAGAAGGCTTTGTTTAAACACCTAATAAAAAGACAACATATTTCTAGACTCAAGAACAGTTCTAAATCCCAGATTTCTCTGATAAAGGGGACACAAGATATTCCCGATTTTCTAAAAAGTGCAGCTGCTGCACTTTTCTGTCTTTCTATAGTTTGCCTACAGTAAGAACTGCCATCGCCACAAAGTCTAAGGCCGCCTGCTGCTATGGAAACAAGAATAGCACATTTCAGAGAGGAGAGTTTCTCTTAACTCTAGGACTAACACCATAGACTGTAGAAAAAGATTCCCTTTCTCTCTTCAACCAAAGCCTGTCCTCACCTCTAATCCCCATTTGAAATAGTTATACCTCATTACCATAGTCAACGCCACGGGTCTGGATGAATGGCATGGGGAGTTCTCATTTAGACAAACTATACAGGTCATAACTGTTTACATGATTATTTGCACAAGCTCAAAATTTAAGGTTTTCTGTTTTCCCTCTTCAGTGGGAAAGATCAAATTTTTGATGTCTTTTATCTTGACATGTGTTCTGTACTTGTTGTGTCTTTATACAGCAAAGTTCAAAAATATGGGAGGACAAGAGAACTAATAGCCTCAAAGTCAATCTTCTGGGCATTTGTAATAAATAAATGATATCTGATGAATATGTAACAGATCACAGATTAGCTTAAGTTGAATTGGATAAAGGAGAGAAATACCAATACTACTCAGATAAAAATGTAGAACATTCATGACTTTTCATCTTCAACACGATGAATCTGGGTGTAACTAATAATAACCAGTAAAAACTTAAATTTCAATATCTACATTATTATCATAGAAATGTTCTGCTATCTTAAATAACACATTAGTGAATACTGAGAAATAACCCTTAACTTGTAAAAAAAATAATCCGTGATTTGAATTTAGGTACTGTACAGGGCTCATAGGCATTATGTCCATATTTATGAACAACCCATAGATTGTTTCCAAATATATATATCACAACTCTAAGAAATAATTGGCAAAAATTGATTGGATCAAGTTGAGCAAGTTTTGGTAATTGCCAGGATTGGCATTCCCCACTTCAGCAGGTTAAACCTATATTTATATTAAATTCCTGCTTCATTCATAACATAAAGATAATAAAACAAAGATATTATGTTCAAAAGCGATAATTTATAAGATTAATAAATATAATGCACAAATCTATGTTGCAAGTCTGTATGGAATTTCAACGTTTTTTTTCCTCCCCAATGCACAAAAATGCTTATTTGAACAGAATTTTAACTCTACAGTTTAAAATAAATTATTAAATAAATGGAGTGCATAAATTCTCTTTTTTTAAACGTTTTTTTCCCTATGTACAAAAATGCTTATTTGAACAGAATTTTAACTCTACAGTTTAAAATAAATTATTAAATCAATGGAGTGCATAAATTCTCTATGCTAGTTTACAATATTTATTCTTTAATCCTTTTTTCACGTGCCTAAAATTAGAATTAGAGAAAAATAATAAAAAGATTTCCGATCATACAAAAAACTTATTCCAATCAAAAGAGAAATGGCAAAATAAAATTAAGATTGAAATTGTTTACAATTAAATAAAATAGCACCAAGAAGAACAAAATTTTGCATATAAACTATTTCATTTCACCAAGAATTAAATAACACAGAGTAGAAGGGGAAAAACTAACCTTCATTTCTTGTTCTTGGAGTAATCGAGCCAGCTCCTGTAAAATTAAAGAGCAATTTAGAAGATCATTATCACAACATGAATTTATAATCAAAAAACATATAAAGAAGCATGGTTGAAACAACTCTAATACATTTTATAACACTAAAAATGACCATAGCATTAAACTAAGTGCACTGATAACTTACGTGTCAAACTTGCATATCCTATTCATCATATAAGAGCAAATTTAAAATAGATTATTCAGATGCAAAACAAACATGACTGGTTAATCAAGGAAAAAGCAAAACCCTTTCCTACAATATTTTGACTCTCTTGAAATGATTATGAATCCCTAAATATCCACCAGCTTGTGTAATTTCCAGATAGCATTTATAATACTAATCACAATGTATGATTCAACTTTGCCAGCTTGTTAGAATAGCGATGTGAGAATTGAAATTAAATAATGATATGAGTTTCAAAAATTGAATTGTGCTGCATATTTTTTTAATGTCATAACTACATATTATCACAAAATACGTATTATTGCAAATTATGTTGAAATGTATCAGGATGTGTGATTCAGCTAGATAATAAAATATAATATGTCAACTTTAGACATTCAGAAAACTTTTTAACTTATGGTCCACACTCTGTCACTTACTTAATCTCAAGGTCTAAGACCTAGCCAGCAAAGACATAATTTGAGGAAAAGACAATTCCTCTTTTAGTTTCAGATATTTAATAATAAAAAGTGCAAGTTTTTACAATTTTGGGGATTATTTTAAACATTTCTATTCATTAAGAGCATTTAAGACTTATTTTCTCAGAACTGTCTCATCACATCAACATATTAGTCTAAATGCCTGCAATTGCTAATTTTGAAACTAGCCAGCCGATGAGATATCTACAGTGCAAATATCTGTCAAAAGTAAACATGTTGAGAACTAAATATGAGATATCTATAGTATATTGCTGTAGTTCTTAGGCCAAATTTCATATAAACTAGAATTGAACTGTTGCTTTGCATTATGTAAGTCTGAAATTGTGTGGGCCGGGATAGCCTGGTCGGTAGGGCGCCGGGCCCATGCCCGAGAGTTCGTGGGTTCGAACCCCACCATCCGAAGACTCCTCGTGTAGTCGGTGACTGATGCACGTTAAAACTCTGTCTAGTCGCAAAGTCCTCCCTATTTCAACACAACAAATCAATACCTCTGGGGGTACTGGATTGGAGACCGATCGTTCTATGATTCAGATCAAAATTATGATCTATGGACAAATGAATGGATGTAGAAATGGGTCCGCCTAATAAACAGGCGTGACGTATGATGTGGCAGAAGTCGAATTCTTGGTCATAGATGGCGCCACTGAAAAACAAGAATCGCACACTCTACCTAAAATTTGCTCGGTTTCACCAAGCAGGCTTGCCCGTGTGGCAAGTGGCATTAGAACCAACCAACCAGAAATTGTGTTTCATTTCATAAGATTTACTCACATCGTAATCTTATAAAATAAAATAAAAATATGCTGCAACAGTTCATGCCAGATATCTAACACATTGCATCCATCACCATAGTCTGGTTCTAGGATGATGACCAGACAAAAAAGGCCTATGTAATCCCTGAACTATATATCCATATCAGGATACCCCTGAACTAAATAAAAAAACAATTAATTAAAAAAGTTTAATGGATATTTCACATAGCTTACAGCATCTCTAGAATGAATAAATTTCTGAAACTGATCAGGTGTCAAATCATCAGGAGGTTCAGCTGACAATAATGATACATCTTTATCTAATGGACTGGTGGCGCTATCCTCCATAGTCTTGATAGGGCCAGCTGGAAAAAAAATTACTTTTAATTAATAAGCATAGACTTTATACGGGAATTTTAAAAAAAAACAACAACAAAATTAAAACCAAATTTTAAAAAAGCATTTCTCAATGAAATATTTTTTTTGCACAAGGTGTCCAGCCTGTTTTTAAAATTAAAAATTTCAGAAACAAAAGGTAATACACGAATGAAAATAAATGGCACATTTATTGGGAAAGTTGTAAAAATTTTACTTAAAAAATTTTAGATTTCAATTACATAATTTCACAACAGATGCAGCTGCAATACATCACTGATCAGAGCAATCAGTTCTAGAGTTAAAATGTGAAAGGAGGTTTCCAGACCAGATTAGGAGGTTTATAAATTGTGTTCTATTAAACAATGTTCTGATACAGATTAAATTAGAGTCCTACAACATTTGCGCTCTTTGTACAGTGCTACATTTGAATAGTGCCATTTTTTGTCAACTTCCGTGCGTACATTCCAAAATTTCTACATAAAACTGTTACAGCTTTCATAAAAGCATACGTCTTGTTGCATTCTTAAATCCATTTTTGGTTAAAAGATTTTTTAAATCAGTCGGACTTTAATAAATAAATTAGGGCTAATAATAAATTAGTGCTTTTTAATGTATATATATCTCATACTGAGAGTATTAGCAACAAATACTTGCAGTATTTATTAAAAAGCCCTAACAGCTTTTATATAACAGAAGAATACCTTGGGAAATGAAAATATCAAGAATTTAAACAAAATTTGCTAAATTTCTAATGAGTTTCAGAAAAATGAAATGAAAATTACTAAGAGAATTTGAATACAAAGCAATTGAAATAATTGCTTTGCTAAGAGAATTTGAATACAAAGCAAAGAATTGAAATAAATGTAAAATTTCTTACAGGTTGTAGCTAATGAAAGTTCCATTCTTGCCCTCTCAGCTTGTTTCAATTCTTTTTCCTCCCGTTTGCGCTGAAGACGCAATTTCTCCTTACGTTGTAGCTCTAGTGCGATTTTCTGAAAATAATATAAACATTTCGTTAAAATTAGTATTAAAAGAAAATCATATAAAGTTAAAAGTTTTCTGAAAGGAAAAAAATAAACTCAATATAAATAAATAAAGAATTTGTATAAAATTTATTGATTCATAAATTTATATTACATCATGACACTTCTTTAACACTTCATTAAAAATTATATTTTGGTTATTATATATTAATTATATATACTTACCTTACATATTTAGCAGCAAAAATATCAGGTGCTGTATTGTACAGCAAAATTAAAGGTTGCCAAAAGCTACGGAGCAACTAAATATAACAAATAGTGATTACAAAATTGCTTGCCAGTCGCCACATGATCAGCATTTATTCCAGTGAAAATACACCTCATGTGCATTTTATTATTGTTATTACTTTAAATAACAATCATTAACAAAATTACTTTATTTCATGCTTGTTTCCTAATATTTTTTTCCCTTAAGAAATGAATCTTGTAATTTTTACTATATTTTGAGAAAGGCTTTGAACTAGATTATAAGGAGATAGAAATTAAACATAAGATATTTTTTAATTTAAACAAAGAAGTGCCAAACCTGATCTTCCTCTTCAATTTTTTTCTGCTGCACAAGATCTTCAAGCAAAATTTTGTCCTGGAGTTGCTTTGCAATAAGGGCATCATGGTCCTCCCTAATTGAAATTTTTAAAATTTTTTAACTAATTTAAAAAATACTTTAACTAAAATATACAACTAGAAAAATGTAATCAATGAGTTAAAAATCTAAAGTTGGCTAATTATTTAATTTTTATCAGAAAGCAAATAATGCACTTTATTACATTAAATATTAAACTATAATTAATTAAATATATTAGTTAAATTGTGCTTTGTTACATTAATTAAATCAGGGCATCACATTCTTCTCTACTTAAAATTTATGATTTATTCTATGAAGTAATTATTTTAAAACATACTGCTGAAAGATTGTTATGAATGAGCTCAGAATCAAATATTAGCTAATTATTTAACTTTAAATCATATACAGTGGTGGCCAAAAGTGTGGACACTTTTTGAAAGTTTCATGTTTTTCAACTTTGTGTGCTTGTAGAATATATTAATTTTCACTTAAATACAAAAGTTTATATATCAAATTGAAGGTAATTTAATGAAGAATTTAATAATGAATACAGTATTACAATATCTGTATTACAAAAAAAGTTATGCAACTAATAGTAAGATCTATCTTAGATTTGCATTTTTTTAAAGTGATACTTACACAATCAATACTTAGTAGGATAACCCTTATTTTTTAAGACAGCTTCCCAGCTTCTTTTCATTGAGTGAACGACTGCTTGAAGTTCATCTTTCGTAATCACATGGTGCCAAGAATCAATTATAGCTTCAATAAGTTGTCTTTTATTGGATGGACGTTTTTTTTCGTGCAAGAATTTTCAAACGTCGCCACAAATTTTCAATTGGATTGAGATCAGGACTGTTTCTTGGCCATGGTAATATATCTGTACCTTTATTTTGAAATCATGCTTTGCATACTTTTGCTGTGTGGCATGGAGCTGAATCCTGCTGAAAAATAAATGGTTCGTTGTTGGGGAAGAGATCCCTGATGGAAGGTATCAATTTTGGTTTCAGGGCCAATTTCAATGTATTTTTTGGCCTTCAGGATGCCATCAATCACTTGAATTCGGCCCACACCATCTGCAGACATACATGCCCAAATCATAACATTTGTTGGGTTTTTTGTAGTTGCTTCAATGCAATCAGGATGAAGTGCTTCACCTACTCTACGTCTCACGTATTTTCTATCATCACTACCAAAGAGCGATATTTTACTCTCATCGCTCCAGATTACTTGCTTCCATTGATTTTCTGACCATTTAATGTGTTCTTTTGCCCACTTAACTCGTTTTTCGCTTTGCTTTTGATTTAAATATGGTTTTTTCCTTGGAATTCTAGCTTGTAGTCCAAATCCTGATAACCCTCTTCTTATTGTTCTTGAACTTACTGCAACACCCGCTGCATTCATTTCACATCTAATGGCGGCATCTGATGAAGTTTTTCTATCTTGAAGGCATAGCCGTTTAATTTTTCTATCGGCGGTAGCACTTGTGCATTTTTTTCGGCCTGATTTGGCTTCATTTTCCACTGATTTCGTTTTTTCATAACGTAAACAGAACTTTCGTACACCAGAACAAGTCACTGAACCACTAACTTGTCTTGCAATTTCAGCATAAGAGAGGCCATTTTCTCTCAATATGACAATTCAACTTCTTTTTGTAGAAGTCCAATTAGTTCTTCTTGTTGATGACATTGCTTAAAATTAGTTTAACTAAACTTTAAACTATAGTTACAGACATTTGATTGGTCCTAAGAACAGTGTTTGTGATTGGCTAGTACGCTTTTATTACAAAACACGTCTTTATTCAAAATGATTTATGTTTGTTTGTTCTACTAAAATAGGCATAACTTTTTTTGTAATACAGATATTTTAATTCTGTTTTGTTATTAAATTTCACATTAAATTACCTTCAATTTGATATATAAACTTTTGTATTTAAGTGAAAATTAATATATTCTACAAGCACACAAAGTTGAAAAACATGAAACTTTCAAAAAGTGTCCACACTTTTGGCCACCACTGTAAATACTGTCAATTAGTATACTTAAATTTTTGTTCTTTCCTAACTGAAACTTTTAAAAATTTTATTCTTAAGAATAATAACTGCATTGAAATGTACAACAAAAATTTAAAATAAAACTTGATTGTATATTTAATTGAAATTAAAAACCAGAAAATAAGCTCGAAATCAAAAATCAGCTAATTATAAAATTTTTATGATAATATGACAACACAGTTACAGTTTAGAACTAAATTTTGTTCTATTCTAAGTAAATTTTTTAAAAATATATAGTCATTTCAAATAATATTTGAAGTGAAATATATTTACTAGTAAAAAATCAAAAGTTATTAATGGCTGTGAAATCAACAGTCAGCTAATTATTAAACATCTACTTTGCAAATCAAGTTGAGTATTGTATTTTATCTTCACCAAATGAAATTTGAAAATTACATTCATTAAATTTAAAACCACTTTAAAAAATTTTATTTTATAAAAACACAGAGGAAATAAATTTGAATTATTTTAAAATTAAAATTCATTATCTTGTGCTTTTATTTTGCCATTACAGTTAAAGAATATATCTCGCAGAAACAAATTTACCAATGATTTTTTAATATTAATGCATATTCAGAAAAGAATGGACTTTTTTAACTCTATTAAAGATAAAACTATTTTTATATCTCTATTAAATGTTTAAGCAACAAAATTTATTAAGGAATACAATATGGTACATTCTTGTTTTTGACTTTCTTGTTTGTTTTTTTTCAATCTATGGTTTCATGAATTTGGTCTAACCTAGTTGTTAACTTGTTAGGAATAACAACAACCACATTTTAACTAGATCTTGATTTCCTTTTAAATAATACTTTCGATAAATATATTAATTTAAATACAGAGATTATAAAAAATATAGATATTCTGTATAAATTTCACTCTTCTTATTAGTCTATGGTCTCTTGAATTTCATTAGCCTAATGGATAACCAGTTACATTTAACACATAAATACAAGTAATGCACTTATCTATTTTTTTAAAAAATAATAATAATAATAAAAATTTTATAAGAAAAAATAGATATAGCAAATGAGAACACGTTTCTGATTATCTTAAGACATCTGTCTGTACCTGTGGCTTAAAATAAAAAGAAGAATTGCTATATTTAAAAAAAATTTAGTTTTGGCCTTAGATTAGAAAAACAATGGGAATTATTTCTATACAGATAGACTACAGAATGAAAGCACTGAAATAACACGCCACAGTAAAAATTTATAAATTTGACAAATTTTAAAAAAACATATTTACAAGGAAACATAATTCAAGCTCAAAAATTAAAAAATATTATTCGTTACTTTGCATTGGCAAAATGCAACTCTACAAGAAATTTAACATTAAAAAATATATATATATATTTTGAACATTATTTCATGCACTATGTCTATGAGCTTTACTTAACTTATTATTCTCTCAACAACTTTATAACTTTAAAATACTTTTAAAGTTAGACTATTTAACTTTTCTCTTTTAAAAGAGAAGTTCTGACTAGTTATAAAATATGAAAATTTAGCAATTTGAAAAGGCTCAACTGATTAAAACTCCTCTTAAAGTTTCACCAGTCTAAATTGTAAACATAAATGAAATAAAGCTATAGCAAAATAATAATTAATATTTAACTTACTGTTCTTTTAGCATTTTTTCATATGCCAAATGCATTGCAACAGCTTCTTCCTCTTCAAATTTTTGTGCGGTTTGAGCTTCTTGAAAATCAGAGCGTAATAATTGACTCCTTTCTTTATTGTGACCATAATGATGTTCTACTGCAAAATTATTGACAATGCACATAAAATCAGATTTTAAAAAATATATTTGAATATGAGTGTAATAAAAATTTTTAAACTAGAAAAGTCTTAGCAAAGTTTTTAGTCAAACATCTGTAAAGATGTAAGGAAGAAAACAAGAACTGAAAAAGTAGAAAATGTTTCATTTAATAATAATTTTAAAGCGCTAGTTTGTTTTTACACTTTCGAATGAGAAATCATTGAAACTTAAACACATTTTAAAAGTCTAATTCAGCAATAAAGATCTTATAAAAAAAAGAGAGAGAGATTTTTTATAAGTGAAACAGAAACTTACACAATAAGACAATTACATCTCATCTGAGCAAAATGTTTCTTAAGCTATATGAAATTTTTCTAAATAAAGAAACATTTATTATGTATCTATTTTTTGATTATCCTTTTATATCAGAATCATATAATTACTCAAATGAAACTCTCCCCCTTCAATTAAAACTTTTATCATCACTTTTTAAAATCTTTTACATAAGTTGATATTATGTTATAGGTTTTTAATTTAGACGGATATTTTCTTAATAAATCCACAAAGATTAGCTATGCTTTGAAAAAGTTTTTTACGTATACTAATAGATTATATTAAAGTATATATCAATAATCTAATATAAGAAATTTAACTTTATAAAAATTGACATTTTCCTGATTTATTTATTTTCATAAAATTCCATTTTTATATAAATTGTAAAAAAATTGGAAGGAATTATTGAAAATAGTGAGATACATAGAAAGAATGAAGGCAGAATCATTTAATTCAAAAGTACATCCGATCAAGGATGAAACTTTAAATCTGGTACTAGTTTACAAGTATTATTTTTATTATGGAATAAAAAAAATTAATTAAGCAAATTTTTAACTAAGACAAAATATTTTAAGAAAAATAACACAAAAACACAATTTTATTACATATATATGCCTTTATTTTAAATTTATTTTCTCTAAATACATACTTTCTTCACTTTGAAGTTTATAGGCTAACACACCATCTTCTCTTACTAGCCATTCTCTGCAAACTGAAAAAAAAAATAAATAAATAAATATATATATATATATATAAATAAGAATTTTAAAAAATTAGCAATTTGATGTTAAAAAAACATTCAATATTTAAAGGAGTAAACAATTTATTACGTAAAAACTACAACATTTAACAGAAATTATTAGTGTCTTATTATTGACAAGAGTATCAAAAAATAATTGAATCTTAAATTAATTTATAAGGATTCTTTATCAAACAATGTGAAATCATTTTGAGCAATTTAAAAAAGTATTAATTAAAGTTGGCATTTTTTCACAATGATGCAGTTGGAAAATTTTTATTAATAAAATCGTCATTATTGTCATGGTCTTCATTAATAACACAGTCTTAAAAACAAATTTTACTTTTTGCTTAAAAAAATTTGTTAATAGGAGTAAAAATCTTAGTTTGTACAGGAGAAAATGTTCATAATAATAAAATATTACATCTAAATAATAATAATAAAAAAAGATTATATTAAATTTAGAAGTTAATAACAAAAGATTACATTGATAATAATAAAAGATTAGAAAAAAGATTACATAAATCATAGAAAAAAAGCTGACATAACTCTTCCAACAATGTTTACTTCAATAGAATAATTATTTTTCATTTTATGAACATGATAAACAATAGCAAACTTAATTCTTTGTTTTAAGAGTAATCAATGTCAATCCAATAATATAGGTTCATAAAATTTGGAATGATAAATTTTTACGTTTGAAACAGAAAATAAAAATAATCATCACTTCAAAAACATAAATTTTTTAATAAAATAATTTACCTGATTCAACTTTACCCTCTGGTATGGTTACTTCCTCTGGGACGTCAGCTCCCATACATTGTATTTTACACTCCATTTTTTACGCAGTGTAAAAAAGTTGATATTTAATTTTGATTACGAGATAAAATCAGAACATTGCAGCTTTAATAGGGAAAATTAACATCCTTTCATTTGACTGCATCAAAAAAAGACTTTTTGACATGAAACAAACTGGAACTAAACAATAAATAACAATCTGTTGCCAATTTATTTTACAAAAATGAAAGTTCGAAATATTCCTTTAACCAATTACAGTGATCTTTTTTTCTACTATTTTAGTTTGGATGGCAACAGACATGCTTTCTTCTTTCTTTTTATTTTAGCAGACGTAAATTATAAGTTGGCCAAGTGTCACGTTGGTAAGTAATTTATTAAAAAATTGTAGTCTAAACATTTTTTTTCCACTAACGACTTTTAATTGCATGTTAGTTATTGACTTATTGATCAACTTTATCGTAATAATTTCTGCTATTTATGTGGCTTGAATATTTACAATCGGATTGGGTTATTATAGTATGATGAGTTGAGGAATTTAACAACTAAAAGGATGTTAATATGAAAAAATTAATTATAATTTCGTTATCAAAATTGTTTATATTGGTAATGTCAAGGATTGTTTACGTACTTGATTTAGAAATGAGGACACTTTACCATTACTATACATTATAGAGAGGAATACTATCACTGTTTAGCGTGGTCTTCGATCCGTAGTTCCACATAAGAAATCTTAGTTCTTAATAGTACAAATTTTCGATTGTTCCCTTTCCAGTGAAATTAACTTTTAAAAAGTTAATATTTTTTAGAGCTTGCAATGATTTCTTTAAGCAAGTGAGATATGTAACTTTTCAACTAAAGAAAAAGGATAACAAAATATTAAGCAAATATCAAATAATAAGCTGTTAAGGTTACGATGTCTAACCTACAAATTTCATCCTTGGTGACCTAATAGGTCACAGCAAGGGATTAACTAGAAAGGTATAACTCGTAACCACCCATAGGCAAACAGCTAAATGTTTTATTTTTTTCATAATTGCTAGTTAGTTTTTTCATAATCTGTTTGGCACCTTGGCGATTGTAGTTGGCGCAACAGATCACGATACGGAAATATCCCCAAAAATTATTAATAGAATAAAAAAATTTCATTGTAACTTGAGCTGTAATGCTCATTAATTCTTCTTCTTTTAGCATAAATCGTTCTGCTACATGCATTTGAGCTCTAATTGCTTTAGGGGCAACCCTCTAAAAAATAGTAATTTTAAAATGCAATGAAATCTCATATCACGCAGACACTGGCATATGTATATACATATGTCTATGTGTATATATATATATATATAAAAATTTCTTCATATAATCTTTTTGCACTATAAATAATTTTTATTTTTAACAGTGACTCTTGATAAATATCATTAGCTGGATTGTGCAAACACTCCACACTAGCATACTATGAGAATAATCGTTGAAAATTAACACCTAAATAACATGAAAATGATATGAAAACATGATATCGAACTCTATCATGAAAATATTATAAACATTTAAAACATTAGAGCATTGAAAACATTGGAACATAGAAATTTTATAAAAAATACATAAGCAGAAAGTAATTAGAAAGTCATTTAGTTTGCATGTTTTGTAATAAGCTCACGAGCCCACCAGTATCTTATATGTTTCCTACCACTGCTCATCAAACCCCCAGGTTCTCAGCATTCATCAGGGCGTCTTTGTACAAATAGAATCAAAGAAGTCATTAATTATTTTACCATTAAGCTGAGACAAAACTATTAAGGTGATATTGTGCATCACATAAATCGTTGACTGGTATCAATGAAAATGGATATTGATAAAAATACTGAAAATGAGTATTTCTTTCGGGCTGGATAAAATGTATGTTATATTATCATGGCTGATTACAGAGATCTTAGTTCTACAATAAGGAAAAGCTAGTTCTGCCAGTCAATAAAGGAGCACTATACCATGGTAGATGCTTTTCTTGGAAAGTTCTCTTTTTCACCGGCATGAGTAATTTTAAGTAAATATATCAAAGAGTGAGTTTGAATTAACCTAGAATTAACCAAGAAGTTTCAAATGCTGAAAAAATCTTTTCGAATTATCAAAATGCAATGCAATGATTTGAAATAAAAAAGTAATCCCGCCATAATTGATTTGAATATTGATATTTTTTAAACATTTTTTCAGCACTTGGAAACTTTACAGTTTGCTGTAAGATTGCTTAGACTTACTTTTCTCTAAACTTAAGTTTTAAATTAGGAATAAAGGTAAAACAGAATTTACCATGAAATGTTTCTTCCATGATACAGCATCCTCTTACTTAAAGAGCGTTAACTGGATGTCACTGCCATAAGATGTCATTGATATGACTGATTTTGTACCCCTTAATACTAAATATTGAAAAATATATCAAGAGAATTTTCTTATATTGATAAAAATTTAAAAATCATATTTTTTAAATAATAATTTTTCTGTATAAAAACTAAAATAAAACATTTTTGTATACTCTTTTAAAACGGTACATTTCATATATCAATAATTAAAAGTGACATAAACTTATCATGACATCTTTNTTTTTTTTTTTTTTTGAAGGGAGGGGGGGAAGGACATTGAAAAAGACAAAGTTTCTGATAGTGACAAATTTTGTATTACCTGCTACGAGTCTGCCTATCAGAAACCAGAGCTTTAGAGTTTCCAGTTTTCTAATGGGTATAGACAGGGTTAGTCCTACGTCATCAACGACGTCGCTAGCTCTCCTCGTTCCAAACAAAGTTTTGAACGGAGCAAACAATATGGCGTTTCTCATGTAGTTAAAAGTGGGTCAACTAAATCTTTGAATATATTAATATAGAGTCGAATTTAACCACTGAAATGGCAAGAAAAAGTGTTGCATATATTAATATTACGTTAATCTCTTTTTATGATATTAATTGGAATAGCTTATTAATTGCAAATGATTATGAAAACTTTTTGTATATATGATTGAGAGAATTTGTATTTAATATTTACCATATAAATTGTATTTATAATCTGGAAATCGGAAATTTGTGAATTTTATTATTTGGAAAAAGTTATTTCTAATTTATGTTTAATTTTTCTTAAAATATGTATATTATATTAAATCAATTTTTTTTATAATATTGAGACAACTTATTAATTGTAAATAATTATGAGAATTTTAAAACAAATTAAAAAGTTATGTAAGAAGCATGAATAAAGTCAGATAAATTAGTGAAAATTATAAAGCATTTTAGATACACGTTTTTAAAATAGCTCAAATTAATTGGTAAATTTACTAAAATGATAGGAAGTAAAAAAAAAAAAATATAAACAAAAGAGTTGACAGGTCTTAAAACATATTTACAACCAAATTATGAAATAAATATGGATGACTTGAATGTTACGTTCACTGCAACAAATAGAATATTACTATGAAGGTAATTTAAAAAATTTTGATTTAGACTGTCAAATGCAAATTTTATTCTATAAAAAGTGATAACAGTAACATTTGCCAAAATAAAAGCTGTATAACTAAATATGCATACATACATTAAAGAATTAAGTTTCTAAATTAAAAAATTTCTTAAAAATTTGAATTATATTTATTTGAAATGCATGCGAAATTAATATTATTAAATAAGTAAAATTTAAACATCTATGTGAATACATAGATTAATAAATATGAATGTTAAATAAAAGTTTATGTATGGGATAAGTATGTTTTAAAGAATTCTAAAAAAATTCATGTTGCACTTTCTTATCGAATAAAATAGGAATCTGAGATTTTAAGATAAATTCATATATAACACCTAAAAAAAATTGTTCCTCTCACATTTTAAAATGAAAATTAGAAATTTAAAATTCTAAAATAATTTAGCTATTCTATATATTAAAATTCTGGAAACTAAACATAGTATTGACCCTTTTAACATAACACTACACTGTACTATCATAACACTACACATTAACATAGCACTACACTAGTAACGTTAAGAATAATCTAATATTAATTATCTAATAATAAGGTATCTTAATTTTCTCAAAAAATTAATGCATAAAATTATTGTTAAAAACTATTTAATGATGATGTTGACAAATATAACAAGAAAAAATCTCAAGTCAAAATAAATCTCAGTTTAAACTAAAACTCTGTGCACATTTAACAATAAGTTAGTAACATAATTTATTCCTATTTAGTAGTTAAAAACTAAAGCTAATGAGAATTAGCAGCAATAATCAGAAAATCTTAAGCAAACAAAGTTTACAATAACTACAAATTTAATCATCAGACTTAATTAAATAAACAGACATTAGTATTGATAAATACAATCTAATTATAGATTAAAAATTACAAAACGTTTTTAAAAACAATGCATGCCTATCCATAACTAAAGAAAAAAATTAGATGTAGGTCAAGAATATGTAACAAATTCTAAATAAAATAAGACATTATTTTAAACATGAAACAAGAGTTAAAAATATTGACGCTTAGATTTTTATACATCAAAATTAAAGATAACTTGACCATTTTGAAACTTTTTTTTATAGCATTTAATGCGCTTAACTCGTAAAATCTGCTGATACTCCGTATAAAGAAAACTACTTAAATTAGGAATAAGTCCCTTAGAAGCGCTATATAAATTTATTTATTTCAATAATAAACTAAAAATCTTGCCGTCTTAAATTCACATAGGAAATGCCATTGAAATGGTTCGTTCGAAAAATTGTTTGGAAGGAGGCGACGTCATAAAATACGTCATCACTGTCCCTGTCTATTAACTGAATACTTTTAAAGTTTTCTAATGATCCTATGAATGTTTAGCAAAAATTACAAAACACTAAATCTTAACTAATTTCAGTTTGTTTTTCTGAATGTTTAAAAAAATCTAACCTTATAGTTTCACTTACTAATTTTAAATGACAGTGGTTATAAAATTACCAGTTAAATTAGGTGGGTATTTATATTGTTATTATTTATTATAATTCTTAATTATTTATATTTTGCACTTTGTTTTATAATTGTTTTAAATATGTGGTATAGGCACGATAATCTGAATTTCCTTTGAAATAAAATAAAGTCTTTTGCCCTGAAGGATTGCTTGTATTTAAAAATTAATCAACTATACTTGACTAAAAAGAGGAACTCGAAAAGAGAACTTAAGAGAGAGAGAACTAAGTTTTACTAAAACAATGGATTAATAATAGAATTATTTTGAAAAAGCACTTAAAATCGCAATAACTTTAGAACAAATAAAAAAAATTCAAAAAATTCTTGTTAACACTATAAATAAAACTAGGCCTTTTTAGAATGTTGAATTTCAACACTGTAGTAGAGATAAGAGGGGCT